GTATTAGGTTGAGGGGAGAGAGCGTTTTGGCAGTTTGTTTGTGAAACTAAAGAAAAGGGAGAGATGGAGCATACCCGCACATGGGGCGTGGCAGTTGATCAGATATAAAATTCATATAATGATGAATAAGAAAATTGTTGCTTTTAAAGGGAACTGCATTTTTAAAATGATTTAAGAAACAAAAAACTTCAGTCCCCTCTACCACTGGATTTAGAAAGAAAAAAAAATTAAGATTTAAAATATTTTTGAAAGCAGAAATAATGTTAAATTTTAAATTTTAAATTTTTTAAATAATTTAAGGTAATTACGATATAATATTTATTTAGAATTTTTCTTAATTATTAGCAACATGTATATACTATTAATATTTCTCGATGAATTTTAGATCACAAATTCAAGAGGTGATAATACTGTCTTCAACCCCACCAAAATCATTATAATTTGAATAGTAAAAACTTCATATGTACTTCTTTTCATCCACCCTACATATCCCTCCGATCTTAAAAAATAGGTTTTATATGCATTTTGAGGCAATTAGCAAGTTTATTTAATAATGTTTGTTACATGAGTTTTAGTATTTAATTTATTTGACTCTTGTATATCAAAATTGGGAAAAACATTAAAATATATATTCTCCTTAGATACCAATCTTGTTCAAGTCTTTTGATTACAAATCTAAAATAATAATAATAATAAAAAGTTCCCCACGTACCCTTTGTCTTTGAATTACTAGTTATAATTATCACATGATATCATTTACAGTGTTCAATGTATCAAAATCAAACAAATCGCCACATCTATCTTCTCTATTTCAAATACTTATTTTGTATGATCATTAATTTGGTCTTTACTTGTTTTGATATTATGTTGCAGAATTATTGAGTTTATTTTTTAAAAAATTATTAAGTTTAGATAATTTATTGATCGTCCAATGTAAAATACATGTTGGAAATTTAATTACTTGGTCAACAGCAGACAGCGTACTTTTCCCTTTTATAAAACATAAAATAATTTCAGTGATTGAAAATTTCTTATAATATACGATTTTGATCAATTTTTTTTCGATTTGCCAAAATGACCAACAAAATCGCAATGCGATCTCTAAATCACAACGCGATCTCCAGTATCGCAAATCAGTTTCCAGATTCGCAACGCGATTTTGACTATCGCATTGCGATTTTCCAAATTCGCGTTACGATTTTAGAAAATCGCAATGCGAATATGTAAATCGCAACGCGATTCTGACTATCGCAACGTGATAATACATAATCACAACGCGATTCTGACTGTCGCAACGCTGAATTTTAAATTCGCAACAGGTTTTAGTTTCGCAACACAAATGTTTTGAGTATATAACTACGCAGCAGCAACAACTCATAACCTAAATCCCTAGATCGCAACTCATTCCATCTCCATCTATCACTCTCTCTGGCGACATTCGTTCCTATATCTAACATCCTTCCCCATCAAGCAACAGGTTTTAGTTTCGCAGCTCGTTTGTTTAGTAAATTAATTTACAATAATGAAATCATATAATGTTTATCATGTTTGGATAGATTTGTGTTTTGGAGGGTCATGGGAGAATGTTCATGGTGTTTTACAAAATATGTCTTTACCCATGAATCTTCAACTAAAACTATCATTAAAAAAGTTAACTTATGAAACTCTAATATTACGTGTTGCAAATAAATTGAATTTAGAGCCCTTAAGTAGATTTAGGCTATCTTATCAGAGAAAAGGTAAAGTTTATTTGTTAACCGACAATGAAGATGTTGAACGATTCATTGCTTACATTAGTGTTTCGCAAGATGATGTTACATTGTATGTTGTTGAACCTAGAAGTAGTGAAGTTGGGTCAGTAGCGGGTAGTAATAAACTAAGTTTTTCAACCCCAGTTTATGGTGCTCAAAATTTAATGGTTCCACCACAATTTCATCACCAAGCAAATTTTGTTTCACCACATTTCCAATACCAAACACAATCTCAAAACCCACAACCTTTCCCTAAACCAAATCCCAATCAACTTTCAACACCAAATTTCGGTTTTCGTATTGACCAGTTAGACGATGATGAGCCAACAGAAAAAATTGTGAGTACTAGTCAGTATTCGAAATTTGATCTTGGTCAATACCCGGACTTTGATCTTGGTCAATACCCGGACTTTGATCTTGGTCAATACTCAGATTTTAATGATATTTCAGAAGAAGAAACAGACCATGCGTGTAATGATTTTGATATTGGTCAATATCCGAATTTTGATGATGAAACAGCTGCTGCTGAGGAAGATGTTGTTGATGATAATGAGGAGGAAGTTACGACTATGAATGAACATGTTGAACATCCATTCTGTAATTCATATAACCCTGAAGAAGAAAAAGAAGAAGAAGAAATCCCCGAAGAAAAGTCCCCAAAGAAAATACCACGGGAGTATAACTGGAATATGCCAGAATTACTTCAGATACCGGAATAAGAGTTGGTAAAGATAGCAGTTGATTGTTACACAAAAATTATTCATATCAAGAAAAATGATTGTTTTGATACAAAGGAAGACTTGAAGATAGCTTTGTATACGAAATGTGTGGAAGATGGCTATCAACTAAAAGTTAACAAATCAAGCAAAGATCGTTTCGAAACAAGGTGTATGATTGATAAAAACTGTACGTGTCGTATGATTGCAAAGAGGATAAAAGATTGCGAAATGTTTCAAGTTAGGACTTTTATTGATAAACATACATGTTCAATAACCTAAGTTTTTTCTCACCATAGGCATACAAACAAAAAGATGTTGGGTGGTTTTCTGGCTGAGTTAATGTTTTTGAATGGCAGGGTATATCAGGGACATGAAATTATGACTGACATGAATGCTCGGTTCAAGATTAGTATCTCATATTCTCAAGCTTGGAGAGCCAAATGTTATGCCTTGGAATTGTTGAGGGGGTCGCCAGAAGCATCGTTTGCCCAACTGTCGGCTTATTGTCACAATTTAAAGCTGAAAAATCCTGGGTCGGTAACTCATATCAAAACAGATAGAGATGGACGCTTTGAGTTGTTGTTTATCGCCATTGGTGCTGCGGTTAGTAAATCAATATAATTTTGTTGACTCATTTTTGTTAGTTACATGTATTTCACATTTAAATGATTATATTTCTTCTGTATATGATTTTGTAAATTCGTTCGTTTATTACTTGCATGCGTCCAATTATTATAGTTGATGGAGCACATTTAAAAGGTCGATACCTTGGAGTAAACTTATTAGCAGTAGCCATGGATGCTAACAATGGGATACTGCCAATAGCTTACGGGGTTGGCAAATATGAAACCTCTGATTCATGGACATGGTTTATAGGGCATCTTAGGGATTACATAGGTCCTATTAACAATCTGACAATCATATCCGATAGGGCAAACTCAATTGACAACGCTGTTAGAAGGTGTTTCCCAAATATTTTTTATGGACTTTGTGGTGTTCATTTGTATAGAAATCTAAAATCAAGGTCTACTGGTATAAAAAATCACAAATGGACATACTGGAAGACTGTAAAAGCTTATCGGGAAGTGGATTTTAATAAGCATATAAATTGTTTAAGACGTGTTTTGCCTCAGTGTGCTCAAACACTAGAAGATGTCGGGTTTGAAAGATGGTCAAGAGTACATCAACTTGGAGAAAGATATGGTTTCATAACGTCTAATAGTGCAGAATCTATCAACGCTCTAAGTCGTCATTCCCGGAAATTACCCATTACTATGTTAATGGAGTTTTTTCGAGCCTCTATTCAACAGTGGTACTACAAGAAAAGAAACTACGCAGGTATTATTTCTTTAAATTCGTAACTTATCATATATTTTACTAAGTATTATTTATTTAAATTTACAGGAACATTGGAACATCGTGTTACACCATGGACTGAAAAAAAGACGGATTTTATTCCTTAAGGTCAATTGAGCCGAAAAAAAGTTCTACAAAAACAATAAACATACCAAGTTAGATATACCAAAAATTACACTGTGAAGATATACAAAAAACAATAATAAACATAAAGAGTAGTAATAGTTTATTCTTCAAACTTAAATTTGCAACACTGTGAATTTCGTATTTGTCTCTGTTTTTTTGTTGAAGTAATGCAATTCATTCAAGTTTTAATTTGCAGAAGAATAATAGTTTCTGAAACTCAAAATCACAACACTAAAATGAAAATTGCAACACGAAAATGACTATCGCAACGCGAAACTAAAATCGCGTTGCGATTTTGTCGTTGCGATTTTCATTTCGCGTTGCGATCATCGGTTTCAAATAGTTTAGCAGTATTGGAAGCAATCGAATGAATTTAATAAGCAATCTAAGTGAAATGATTAATCTATTATTGAAATTACCAGTAAACTTATCATCAATTTTAATATGAAAAACCTAATAATAATGCAAAATTTTCAAAATAAAAATAATTAAAAAATAACCCTCGGTGGTTGATTTGGTTGATTTTTCATTTCTGATCGTGAATGATTGTGAGGGTGGCTCTAAGAGATGGAGATAGACGGATTTCGCCGGAGATGGGGACGGATTTCGTCGGAGATGGGGACGGATGTCGCCGTAGAGAGTGAGAGATGGAGATGAGGCTGAGTTGTGATTTGGGGTTTTAGATTAAGAGTTGCGATTACGGGATATATTAATATTCGTGTTTGGAATTTGAAAATAAAATACGTGTTGCGATACTAATGGCGCTTTCAAAATCACATTGCGATTTTGTATTATCGCAACGCGATAGTCAGAATCGCGTTACGATTTACATATTCGCATTGCGATTTTCTAAAATCGCAACGCGATAGTCAAAATCGCGTTGCGAATCTGGAAACTGATTTACGATACTGGAGATCGCGTTGCGATTTAGAGATCGCATTACGATTTTGTTGATCATTTTGACAAATCAAAATAAAGTTTATCAAAATCGTATATTATAAGAAATTTTCGGTCACCGAAATTATTTTCTCTTTATAAAAACCTCGTCTCTCCCAAACTATCAACCCCCTCCTCCAAAGCTTCTATTTTTATCATCGCTAAGCTCTCAACTCTGGAGCCAAAGACTTCCTCTTCCGTTTTGAATTGATAGTTTCTCAGGAAAATGTCGGCGGGAATTGGCAAATGTAGCAAAATCAGCGGCATCGTGATGCTCCGGCAAATGCTGCGGCGGTGGAGGAACAAGGCTCGCATGTTGGCCAGCCGCATCCCATCCGACGTGCCAGAGGGACACGTGGCGGTATGCGTAGGGACAAGTCGCAGGAGATTCGTGGTGTGGGTGGCGTACCTGAACCATCCCGTGTTTAAGAAATTCCTTATCGAAGCCGAGGAAGAGTACGGGTTTAGTAACGAAGGCCCATTGACGATCCCCTGCGACGAGTCCGTTTTCGAGGAGGTCATCCGGTTCATTTCCCGTTCGGATTCGGGTCACTTCGGTAGATTCGTGGAAGACTTCAAAGAGAAGTGCCACTCGGGAATCAAGAGTAATTTGTGTATGGAATCTCGACCGTTACTTCATGGGTTTTACGAGAAAACATTCTGATAATATCAGAAAGAGAAGGAAAAGTCTTTGATTCTTAATCGACGAATTTCGACTCAGTTCCATGTTACCTCAAGCGAACAACTGATTATTGAACACTGTTGAAGCACGAAAACAATGAGTAACGAGTTTTCACTTACCTTAGTGACAAAGGTAAGTTGGCGGGGTTATACTTTTTTGTCCTTTCTTCTCCAAAATCATTTGTAATTGGTTAAATCCGGGGCTAAAATGAGCTGAGCCAATGTATGATGCCCAAGTAGAATGCTGAGTTCATGGAGATGGCTGAGAAGGTGAAAAAAATGCCGAGTCATCCCAAGTTCATTTACAAATCATTCACTGTTGTAAAATCTGAGATATATTGAATGATTAAGGATATATTTTAGAAAATATTATAGTCTAGAATATCATATAATTCAGTTAATTATTTTATGAAAACATAATATAACCAACATGTGTATATATATATATATATACATGTAGTGTTGTATATTGTCTGGATCACTAGTGTTGTAATAAAGAATTACATAGTGTGTTTTGAATAATTGTGCATGTGTGGCGTTGTAATAGCGCAAAATTTATGAAAATTGATGGGCGTTTGATTTGATAATATTAATGAACCTTGATTTATTTGCAACCCATGATTTTAAAAAATGCAGTCTGACCGGGAAAGAGTTACTATTTTTATTCCAAAACCGGCCGTTCTTGTGGCTCACTGTTACAAGCGGGTATTTGGTTGGAAACAAATGGGTCAACTGCTCTGAACCGGTAGAATTTTCCACGATTGGCTCCACTCCCAAGTCAAGTCACACACTGACCAGATACAAAGTGCCTTGCGTTACCTATTATGATGGTTCGGAATGACAAAGATCAAATCAGCTCTATTTAAAGTATACGTCAATTTATAATTAATAAATAAAGGTTAATATTATATAAACTCAAAGAAATGAAGATTATCTGGCTAAGCAAATGGATGCCCTATTCAATGTCCTAAAAGAACCTTATAAAAATAGGAAACGGAAGGGGAAATGTACAAGAACCAAACATAGTGGAGCATTATCATAATCACTACTTTCTTGGTCTTGGGGAGAAAAAGCAAGTTTTTTCAACCGAATCGAACTAATAATAATTTCATAAAGATGCTGTCTTTTTCACATTGGCATCAAATAGCAGGCTTACATAAACTTGGGTCACGATGGGTTTATCATCATTTTAACTGTCCGAACAGTAAAAGCAATGATAAATAACAAGTTTTTTCCAGTCAAATCACTAATTTGGCTCAAAAGGAATCAGAGATGGACTGAAGGGGAGCGGGTGGGAACGGTTGTTCCTCTAATTTTTTTTTTATAGATATTTTATTTGTATTTTTGATTGAAAATATGTTTTCACCCATTAGAATTATATAAATTCCTCCGTCCGTCATGAAAGGGATTCTTATTTGAACTCAACTCCGGACAAACAATCGCGAGACTTTAGCAGATTATTTTCCTCAAATCTTGGGGCATGCAATGTCTAAAATCTCAAAAATAAATAATTATATCTATTGGATGTAATGTTTTAATTATAACCACCCGAATCAGCGAGATTAAGCTGATTTCAATTAGCGGCTTTATCAATGTGATTATAGAATATATTATACATAGTATTGTCTTAATCACAGTACGCGTTGCACTAATCACGTACGTTTTGTCCTTGAAGTAAACGACAAGTGCACGCTTAGAGAATCAATTAAGATCCAACACTTGAATTTTACTACAAGATCTAGTGAAGGAATTGTCTTTTCATGGGACATATTACGTAAGAAAATTATCCTACAGAAATTACCAGATAAATACGACAGGCGACACACATTTTATTCTATTAAAAAGAAAAAAGCCTTAACTTTTACTAAAGAACTAAACAGCCAAAGGAGACAAGATTAGACATGTATGAATAAACAATGAAAAAGAAAATATATAGAAAATACAAGGAAGCATACAGAACTTGGTAAAAAAATCCAGCAACTGTAATTTATTACTTAAAAGATTTGAATCTAACCCTTTAATTTTTAGGGTAAAGCAGACCCGAAAGATCACAGCATAATTCGCGGCCAATCATATATTCTATTATTTGTCATTTTTGATGAATTTGATTGGTGGTGGTCCCTTGCTTTAAGGAAAATATATGGATTTTATATTTTATGATGTTTTTTACAATACTTAATCCATGTACTAAATAAGTAAAAGATGAAACAATAAGACAGTGAAACTGTTTTAACTGTTTTCTTGTCTGCATAAAATAATATGGTTTTTACAGTGTTTAATGGCAGAATCGTACTTAACAGTGTTTCAAAAGTAATAATAATTTCTCAATTAAATTGATGTATGCTTAAGTCAATAATTAAGCATTCATTAACTTAAAAAAATACGGGTTTTGAAACTGTTTTCTTAACAGTGCTGTTTCAGAATCTGCATTTGAGTTGATGATTTTGGTTAAAATCTCAACTGAAAACTGATTAGGTGAATAAGATAACGTAAGATGAGGAACTGCTTTTGTTTCTGTAATGTTGTCCACTGGTCTTGCCTAAGCCATCAGCCATGTTCTTCAATCAGAAAGCATATAGAAATTTAAAAATTTTGAGAGCACGAACACTCCCACCTAGATCCATCCCAGAACACAGTTTTATCATCTTATGGTCAAAGATTAAATCAAATTTAAATATGCCCAAGAATACTGTATCCAAACTCTCCATTAACCTTAGAACATTAACAACTTTATCAATCAATTTTGATTCTATAAGGGTTAAATTACTGTTTTGGTCCTTTTATATGCTAAACTTTGCGATTTCACCCTTGTGTTTCTATTTGGTGTAATTTGATCTCATACTTCAATAATGTTATTAGTATAATTAACAGAACTAACAATTTGGATTAACAAATAACATCGTAATCATGTTAAATTAAAATGTAAAGATGATATTATATTGCTGTGTTTTTATAGATTTGGGGGAAGTTGGTCTGCAATCTGAGCCTTCCAATTCGTTGGTCATCCCTATGACTTGACTGTAGCCACTGTTGGTCATCTTCTCCAACATATACGTGATTTCTTCGTTGTGGGTCCCCATCACATGGCATCCTAGATGCGATGTTGATAGATCAATGTGGTCTAAACATTTTTGAGTTTCAATGGAATTAAAATAAATTAGATAGTACGATAACTGGACGATGATTGGGTTAAAAGGTAGAAGAAAATACAAGTATGTTATTTGGATTCAGATATAAAAATGTTTCAAAACTAATTATTCTCTTAAAAGAATATTAAAGAACAATGCTTTCAGTTGACAGATGTATAAAACACAAGGAAAGTGTTTGTCTTTTAGAAGTTTTAGATAAACCAGAAACAAGATCAAACAAGGTTACTACTGAAAGCAACGATTCCATTGTGTCTTCAACCTTGTTCCTTTCTTAAATGGATTCTTTTTGTTTTGATGAGTTTTACCTTCTGTCTCTGGCAAAACATCCCATGATTCCAATGAGTTGGCTGTTAGAACTTAGACATCGCTTCCAACGGCTTTAACTGTTGAGTTAACCAGAAACAGGCGTGTGTACGTACCCAGAAAATAAAAATAAAAAAGACCTGAAAGCTAAGAGACAATACAGGCAGAAGAAGCGGGGAGCGTGCAAGAGACAGATAATGCAGAGCAAAAGGAAATAAAAACAAAGGAGAGCCAATAGGCAACCCCAAAATTCTTGACATTAGTTCTCTCACAGGCTACATCGGTGTTGACTTACAAACCTATATCCCAGACATAAAATAATTAATATTCCTGGGTTTTTGGGGTCAGAGAAAAATCTAAGAGAAGCAATGAAGCAGCTTCACCTTAATCGTCTTCTCCATTAACCAGCCTTATAGTTATATCCTTCAACAATGGTAGCTTTTCTCAGTTCGTGTTTTACATCTGAGCATCGATGTTAGAGAGCGGAAAACAACTTCTTCACAAGGAATGGTGAGGCCCTTGTCGTGATCGAAACCAAACTCTTCTTCAGCTTGATGGAGCAAGGTCTGGAACTCGGGTCGGGTCAAGAAAGAGATGGGAACGATGTATCTGCTCCTGTTTTCGCCGACATATACAACGAAATGGCCTTTGGGGACATCAACGGGGAGTCCTTGTTCATCGTAGCTTTGTTTCTTTCCTAAGCTGGAGCATCTTTTCAGGATTTGCTTGATCACTGCTGCTTGAGGCAATTTGTTTGGTTTCCTGATAGCCATTTTGCTTTTCCTTTGGAGGCTGTACTGAACTTGGTGGGGATTAAATGAGCAAAGACAGAATAGTTTAGAGGAGAATGAAGAGTGGAGGGGAGGTGTAGTGTATATATGGTGTGCGTGCTAGAAAGAGAGAAACCAAGGCATATGGGGTTGTGGGGACAGAATAACAGACCATGGGTGTTTTTGGGGTATGTGAGAGCTCATAGGACATGCCTGGAGGAAACCCCCCATTGTTGCCCTCCCATAGGACATCATGTCCCTCCCTTCTCCATCTCGCAAACGCGTTTTTAATCGTATCATGTCGGTAAAATCGTCGAACAACGGATATTATCGCAATGAATTATGATGCATATTTAGAATAAAGTAAATTGGGAACTTCAAAAATAACATCCCAGCTTCACCCATGATGCTACTGTACTTTAGTCCTTGACTTGACACTTCTATCGTCTATGTTTCTATTCTTACACCTTCACTTTTCAAGACTTTCCTGAATTGATATATATTACCCTTTTTTATGGAACTCTGTTTGTTAAGGGTAATAGGGATTTCTTATTGAGACGTTCTCTATTATTGGCGTTTTTATTTTGTTCTTGGTACATGTTCTTGTGTTGGTGTTCCTTTAGTTGTTCTGCGGCCAGACTTTGTATGCCCTTCGGATGTGGTTTTTCATAGACCTTCGTTTGTATAAAAAAAATAACATTATATGACTTAAAAAAATAATTGAGCGATGAAAATGAAAACACAAAAATAAGTGGGGTACCAATTAAAAAGTTTACCCTAAATTTTATTATATTTTCTCCCACGGTCCTTTATGAAGTAAACACATATATTGAACTCCCCCCCCCCCTCTTTTATCTTTCCAAATTTTCACTCCGCAGGACATTATCCAAATGAAGATAATGAAAGGCGCCATGAGCAAATAAAGGGAAGCAATGGCTTGCGAACCATCAAAACTTAATGAGAGGAAATGTTATCAAATGCAGGCGAAGGTGACACTCCCAAGGCCAATTCCTCCCCCTTTTTCTTCTTTGTATATACACACTGATTGGTTTACATCATCAGAGGACAATAATGTTAACTGTACCCAAGCTTTATCAATCCACTTGTCACTCTCTTTTTCTAAAATTTTGAGCTTCTGCTTATGTGAATCCATTGCAGCCAATTCACATGCAGTTATGTACGTGCTTTCTATTATTATTATTATCATCATTCAGGTTTTTGATGGATTGAAATAATTTCATCATTTAATTCAGAAGCCATCAATATAAGGCTTTTGTCTCATCTGCAACATCCCCCTTTATTTTGCATCATCGACATAACCCCACGATCTTAACACAATTCTGTCCCTCTTTTTCCTTATCGTCATTTACGTATATGAATGAAACATCATCTAATTTTTCTGTATATCTGCATGTATTCACATTTCATATGTATTTTTTTTTGCCTTGGTGGATATATATAGTCATAATTAAAAGTAATTTTGAAAATTGAATGATGCTTGGACCACTTGGCTCGCATCTGTATATATCCAAGACAGTCCCCATGTTCTAAGGTTCAGAGAGCGTCAGAGCGGGTCATTAATTTCTACCAAATTAAAGCGTGCTCTTCTCAATGCTTTGTTACGGCTATTACGTACGTTCTGCCCAATTGACGCCTACCTTTTTTTAAACTCTTTAATCACATTCATTTTATTAAAATATTCTTAAAATTCTTGATGATCCAATATTTTTTTTTACATTAACGATCGATGTCATACTTAACGTAGAAAAGCAGATGGTTCGAGGACACTATTTAGTTGAAAAATATGTTAGGAAAAAATAATGGATTAATCGAATAATACTATGCTATTTATAATAAGTCATAGGTCATATCACTTGGTTAATTGATTTTTTTTGTTACCTTCCCGGTTCTAAAGGTTTTGTCCTAACTAATCCGGACCGATCCGTGTCACACACATGACTTTGGTGATTGAGTCTCCCAACAAATATTTTATGCATACATAATGACTCGAACTCAAGATTTACTTAAACACTATCAAATTGTTTATCACTTGAATCAACCCTCGTTGATGGTTAATTAATTTATTAATAATAAACCATGCCAATTGGTGAATAATTTAATCTTAGATTTAAAGTTACATCAATTCAACCATAAACATATTAATTAGCTTTTCAACAATTCTCTTTAACAATGGTCTTAACTCTTCATCAAATGGTCTTACCCTTTGAATTCATTTCCTCTCCACTATGTAAAGGTTAATTCACATAAATCTTAGACACAACTTACAAACTTTGGAATAAAAAACACTAAAAAAATTACTTTTAAATTCATTCTTTCTATTAATAGGGAAATATAAGATTGCGTTCGACTGATCACTGCTATTGTATTTACTATTGTGGTCGTTTGTTGTTGTATCTTGAGATATCGACATCCAACGTTACTCAAAGCACCGATGAGAGAACAAATATGTCTTAAGGAAACTATTTATACAAGCCTCAACTAAAATTCTTCTTCTATTGATTCGACTCTCTACTCATTTGAGTACATGTCTATATACAAATAAACAATCTTATTTTTGTATTTTAATTTTATATATATTTTACTTCGTTCGATTCAATAATAATATCCACATATTTTAATTATTATTTTATTTCTCGAATTAGTGTTTTGTATAGCAAAATATCAATAGATGGAGAGTGGATCTATAAGGGATAAGCAAGTAGCATGAAAAGAGATGGATCCTATAATAGGAAAGCATATAATAAAAGCAATAAACATGTTCCTAACTGCCGATAAAAATGTAGACACCGATTTCATAAATTAAATGAGGGCCTAATGGCCAGGGAGCGGTGGCTTGACTTGTTATATATGCGCGTCTAAGTTGCCTAGGCTGTCTATAATAATAAATAAAAAAAAATCAAATATTTTTATTCCAAAAACCAATCTTAAAAAAGAAATAAAAGAAGGGGAAAGGACCTATTTTGCGGCTTAAGGCCGTGATAAATCTGGAATGCCAAGAACTTACGGACGTACCTAAAAAATACGGATCCATGGAAAACGCGGCATGTAGCGTGTAAGATTATGGAAACAATTAATGTGATGTTTTCAGATTGTGGTCTACGATACAAGTACTACATGATGATCTGTTTGGCGTTTTTGAGTCCCATTTTAGGAAACAACAGTCCATTGGAAGGGGTCCAAGCCAGCTTGGGGGACATTGAAGGTTCGGTGGTAGTGTTTGTGACATTGGGAAGGTCAGACATCTCCATAGCTGAAAATTATGACCATGACCACAATTTATGATTATCTCTATACCATCTTGGCCTTTGAAAATTCTTGGAAATTAAGTTAAGCATATCACCCGTCGGTTGGATGACAAAGTAACTTGTGGCCGAGAGCCTTTGAGGGAAGAGTTGAGGTTGAAGATAAATTTGGACAGGGTAATAGTAGGTTATTTTATCTACACGTGAGCATTACGTAATTTGTGACAGTTTATTGTCATGTTGTGTATTCTCGTGTGAATCTTAATATAATCGACAAAAATTAAGATATCTTGATATGCGAAAGTTCGCTGCTCTTAAGGGGGTTGATTAACATATTGTTACGTGAAACAGGTTTCCCATATTGAGTAGGATAGTAGTAGTTTTTCTTGTATCGGTGAGGGCAGACTTCATCCGATGGAGGAGCAAATTGAATACCCTTTGTTGTCTTATCCTCGTCTCGGTAGGAAGAAATTATTTAATCCAGGCTTGGTGATTTCGGACTTCTTTAGTTTTAGACCTAGTTGCCATAAATGTCATGGTTTAAGTAAGTGGTTAAACAGTGATGGATCAAGGGGTGATGATCGGAGAAAGTATTCTATTGAAAATATATTTTTGTTCACTTAAAATTTTATAAGTTCGCCTCATATAGTATCATCTGTACATCCCTTGGATTAGGAATCCATTGATGGAGTTGAGTAAACCACTTGAGTGGTTGATAAAAGAACCTTGAAATCATGAGAAAATAGGGGAATGCTTAAGTCGGTATATTTCATAGTGTCTTATGGGGCCTAAACTCTTGGACAGTGGTAAACAAAGTGTGTCCGATTGAATTACTGGAGTTTGATGATGATGAAGCTGCTACGCATATATCCGACTTGCCCATGGGTTCCTTCATTGGGCCTTACCCTCTTCGAGTCCAACAGACGGCATCCTTATAGGCGCCTACCTTCATTTTATTTTAATTTGTTTGCAGAAGAACAAAACATAATCATACAATTTGCAGAAGAACAAGGTTGAGGCAGCATCATTACAAACAGCGAGGAGAACAGTTCACAAGTTTAATTTTTGAAATAAAGACATAAATTTAATGGATAGTTACATGTCTGTAAAACAAATAATATGCAACTCCTGCCCAATGGTTTAAACAAAGACACATGCTGCTCTTTTCATTTATGTTGTTAATAGCGCTATAATTGTTGAAAATCAAACTTATTTCTAGAAGTTTGAAAAGTAAAAAAAAATGGTTAAAAGAATATGTTTAATTATTAAGCATAGTTCAAGGCGGCAGAATGTTGTAGCATAGTTGAAAAGTCAAAATATGAATGAGTTGGCAAGCTTGGCAATTAAGGAAAAGAGTTTTGGCAAGACAAGCAAAGTTTGCTTTGATATAAACATGTCCACGTGAATGATTGAAAAGGCAGCGGCTATAATACTTAATTATTAAGGAATTATAAGGCGGCAAGTCTTAGGTGGTTTATTACATATCTATATATATGGGTGTTTAGCTTAATATGGAGTATGTAATAAAAGAGATAAAAATGAAGGCTTAGAAAAATCAGAATGATTAATAGCTTAGCAAAGCTATTAAAGAGAGAATGAATATGAGAAAAGGCTTAGAAAAGCCGGAATGAGAAATAGCTTAGCAAAGCTATGAGAAAAAAGGTGAAGCTTAGCAAAGCTTAGAATAGCGAGGTTGTGTTTGTAAACTAGTCGCAGCTAGTGTTATATTGTAATATTTGGGTAACGTCGTTGTAACGTATTTTGCCTCGTATTAATAATAGT